TTTCTAGCCCACTGAATCCATGCACAGCAATGTAAAGGTGGTACTCGCAAGGGACCTCAATATCAGGGGGCGCATTCGCCCAGGGCGCTGCCTTTCCTTTGCACGGTTGTGCATCCATTACGTACGTAACACGGCTAGAATTTTGAGGGTGGGGGTTATGTAGGAAATATTTGTTAAAACTTTAAATAAAATAGTCAATTTCCTTTCTTAAAATTTGATTATTTGTGACAGTTTTGATTTCTTTCTCACAAAATAGCTGGTGATTTACTAAGACTAAGAGGCAAAAAGCGGGAAAGTAATGAAATATATGTCAGTAGCGAAATAAACACCATTGCAAACAGATGACTAACAAAGCAACTTGGTTCCATCAAGATACATAAAATCACTGACACTGCCTCTCATTTTACTCACCACAAACCAGAGTCAACTTAGGTGGTATCTACTAAATAATTAAGTGCCATCTACCAGACTAGAGCTGACCAACCATAGACCATTTAAATAGCTTATTTGCCTACTATGACTCACGATTGTCGAGAAAAAGTCAATCCACTTGCATAGGAAGGGGGCTGTGGAGGGGGTGGTCGACACAGGTGCCACTTTAAAAAAAAAATTATATTGAGGGCGGCATTTTCGGCGAGCTGAAGAGTTGTTTTTTTTTGTTTTTTTTTAAAACTCAGTGGTAGTGGATGGCACAACTTTTTAGTTAACATATCGCAACATAACCACTGGTCCGCTCGAAACGTTTCCCAGATCTGCTCATTATGAAGACACGTTACACATCACCCAACGCTTGGACATTGGTCGCTCTCTCAGTCTCTGTTGTTGGTGGAATTCTATTACGTAGCCGAGTCTCTCGATTCGCACCTTTTTTTGCCCATGCGCCGTTTCCCTGGTCTGGCCTGCTGATTACCAAAGTCATTCTCTGATACACTAAGGTAATACGTCGGCATAGCTAGAGCGACGTGGCCTCCACGGCCTTGTCATGTTTCTGTTTAGTAAGGCTGTGGGCAGCAACGCAGTCGCCGCGGCTTACCCGTGTATAGGTTTACTTTAAGCAGATTTCTGATCGTTAATGCTGCATAAACTTTATGGTTTGTGTCCACTGCGGTGGCCGCGCAAATGAACGCAGGACAAGTAAACCCACAACTCACCATAACACATCCAAACACAGGACTAGTGAACCAACGGACAAGTTAACACGCAGAAAAGTGAATA